TGTGTGTGTGTGTGTGTGGTGGGGGGGGGGGGGGGTGGAAGGGGGAGGCTTTGCATCCGCGGACCCCCTCCCTTCAAATAATCCTGGATCCGCCCCTGGGTGAGACAGACGAACATGCCGTCTCCCAGGACATTATTAAATGCTTACTGCAATTTTATCCCGAATACCGTGCTGCCCTTATTTCAAACATTCAAATATGCATAGAGCTACTACACTGCTACTATAAAAAAGCACGGTATACATTTAAAGGTCCTCTCGGATAAATACCTCCCACATTCGATTACATCGAAATGTCGGTTTCCGGTAACTGTTGCTGCACAAGTTATACAACCAACACCGAATACCATCAGCCGCACCGTGCACTCAGATTTTCAGTTGAGATGTAGTCAGCGCAAGAGAAAAAAAGGCAAGAAAAATATAATCAAAACCAAGAAACAAAAGAGTGAATCGATCTATATGTTTGTCTTTGCTTGCTACATAGTTTTAGTATCGTGATTAAAAAATCGAAGAACGCATTCACAAATGCTGTCGTTGCTACAGATGAGACCTTTGTCACAGCAACCGTTTTTTATTTTATTAATTAGTTTATTTCTGTCATACCAACAAATACAGCATAAGAATATAAAGCCCCAGAAACTGCATTGGTATGAGGTTCGCCCTGATAGAGGCCAAGATGACCTTGGCGTGTCTCGTGAAGAAGTTCAGCGTTGAGAACTGTTCAGAGACGCAGATTCCACTGGTTCATGTGGCAGTGCAGCCGGAGAAAGGTGCCACCGTGCGTCTTATGCCCCTATTTCACACAGACCACGAATCCCACGAATCGCCAGGAATTGAAAATTTCAGGATGATTCGTAATTGGTTGAATCGTAATCAGTTCGTGAAGTTATTAACAGATTTGTATATAATCGTAGTCAGTTCTTGCAATTCTTGATCAATCGGGAATTTGTGGCAAAAAATTTGAGCTGTTCAAGGTCTTGGCCACGAACTCCCGATTCCAAAAAATCGTAGTGAATTTCTGAACAATGTTCGTGCGATTCCAGCCGAATCTCACGAATATTCGTAACACTATCGCACCTGTATCGTAACTGAATCGTGAGCGTGTCGAATTAGACCAGAAAATTGGCAAAATCTCACGAATCCTCACGATTCCTGAAAATTGTCATTTCCTGGCGATTCGTGGGAATTGTGGTCTGTGTGAAATAGGGGCCTTACAAGGCGGAATGTGGTGGTCAATAATAGTGAAGAATAGACATAAACTGAACGTATATTCACAAAATTCCATAGATTTTGTCATGATTGACTATGTTTTATGACTTATATCTGTCGACAAGGATTATCTTTCATGCTTACAGTAGAAAAATGTTTAGAACTGTATTCCGTTTAAAATGTTTGATTTCGCGGATGGATGTCGAATTTAGTTGCAGTGAACAACATTATATTTAGTGAGGATGAAAATTTTGCGAACAATTTTTAAGAAATGTATAGAAATTATTTTAAATTTATTATATATCCCTTTATATTTTATCGACATATTTTTACAGAGATACTTTATCACTTTGCATGTTTTAACGAGCCTTAACTAGGGTGTAATAACCAGCATAATCCCAGCTCTACAGTGTTAGATGTTGATATATATAAATGTACAGTACATCGATTTACAGTTATGGATATGACGAAAATTGCGTTTTATTTTTATATAAAGGTCAATTTATCAATGCGTTTTTTATTGTCCAATCTTACCACTTAATTGATTTACAAGTTTCAAGAACGACAATAATTTGTCAAACTTTCGCGGCAGTTTCTGGAACAGGGTTAATGCACAGATTTGGTGTAGTTCCACAAGCGTTACTGTTATTTCTGTTCTTTTCATGGTAAACACACTGTATGTATTTATTATTGATTGGAGTTATCAAATGGTTTTCATTTTATTCGGGCCCTCTGAAGAAGTTAAGAACGCATGGTCGTTAATATAGGCTATAACAGAACTGTTACCTGTGCTGAAGGCTTGTCGCGCCATCTACAGGAGATAATTGCAGTAGGTGGTAGCCGCATTCACTATTAGGCACGTGACCTTTAACGAGCACATCCTAATGCTAATTGTTTGTAAATTTGGTGTTATTTGATGGCCTCGTTTTAATTTAATAGACATTTCTTTTTTTGTTGAAATCACTGTGAAACATTGGATTTGCTATAAAGTTTATTTTCACCACTATTTTACATTTTTTCGAACCCTTAATCGTGTTAGACACTGTATCTGGTATAAAAAGCACTATTTCTAACAATTCACAGCTGTGTGGTGATCATTTGTAAATAAAAGTGCATGGAAATGGGGGTGGGACAACCTTTTTGACCAATGTTGTATAGAAGCGACATTATTTTAACCGTCTGTACCCTCCCACTGTTCCGTCCCTTCTCCCTGGATCCTCCAGTGGATATATTGTACCACGAGTGGCATCATTTTAACCATCAGGACCTTCCTACTGCACTGTCCCTTCCCCTTGATTATCCCAGTGATTATACCAATAACGGCATTATTTTTACCCTTCTTAACCATTTGTCTGATATGTGAACTGTATAAATACACGCAAGTGTTGCGCCCATGTTTTTCTTCACATTTATATTATGTTCTTATTTACCTACTTTTTATCTCATTTTTTATATTTCTATGTTAAAAGTTTTATCTTTTTGCCCTAATTTTATTCCTTTTAGAGATAACAATGTCAACAAAAACTATTGATATGTGAACTGTGTAAATACACTCTAGCATTGCATCCCAAGTGTTCCGCCCATGTTTTTCTTCACATTTATATTATGTTCTTATTTATCTATTTTATTTTATTTTTTTACATTTCTAAGTTAAAACTCAGCTTGATCTTTTTGCCCTAATTTTATTCCCTTTAGAGATACCAATGTCAACAAAAACTACTTTTACACTCATTATTCGGAAAAAAGCAAAGCTAAAAGATGGAAATAAAAGACGGTCCCTGTAAATATACACTATTTTCTACAATTTACCTCCTTTAAAGTACTGTATTGAAAACAGAAAATATCACTTAAAAGCAAATTTACCAAGCATTCAACATTTTCAAATTGTGTCTTATGGTTACATCCCCTCCAATAAATATAATTATTAAAATAATTATTCAGAAAGAACACCAAAAGATATATATTCAACTGAAACAATATCATTTTCCAATCCACAAATTACAATTAAATTACAATTAATTAGTTAAAGTGGAATTATATCGCGTGTTCCCCAAGTTCCGTGTCCCTGTGCCACCCAGTTAGTAGTACAATAACATATAAATTAGAAACACTGTCAAAGCTACATATTACATTTTAAAGACAGCACAGCGCCAAATATATATTTAATTAACAAAACTTCCATTAAGCACCTTGACTATAGTAAGAAAAATTTAATATCGTGAAAAAAAAAAAAGAAAACACCAAGCCAATCGACAAAGTGGACAGCCATTCTTATTCGAAGCTATGAAAAGAAACCTCTTAGTCACTCAGACCCATATCTTAAGAGAGTAAGATAACTAAACTGCAGTTGACGCTCCCAATTTTCAGTTCTCATAGTCCGTATTCATATGGAATTCAGTCCTGTGTATACAGTCCTGTTTTGTTTGTCCATATTTAATATTTCCCCACCGTCAATATGTTTCCGTTGTGTGTGTTATTGTCCTTGTTTCTTTTATGTTCGTTCAGGTACCAAGAAAGGTTCCCATGCTGGCAGACCAGGTGGATCAGGTGGGTTCAAGTCGTCATAGTCATTGGCCGCGTCCCCATTGTAGTCTCCGCAGATTCCACGTACCCCCAGGGCAGAGGCGCAATGTTTGCCAGTCATTTCTATCTCAACCGTGTGTAGATAAACAATGACAGTCATTGGAACTTCATGGCAACGTATAATGTACCCTCTAGGTGCAAGACTATCCCCTGTAACAAGTCCACCGGCAAATACGAAAGGTGTTTCAGTAATCACGCCTGTGCCTCGGTTCTGGAAGGAAAATGCAAAATATGTTTTATTTATTTATTTATTTATTTATTTACTTACTTACTTATTTATTTATTTTATTTTTTTAATCACTGAAACAATATTAAATAATGTGACATTTCTACAAGATAGTGTTGCACTAGGAAAATAGAAGCGGAATGGGGCTGGGGTTA